AATGGGATTCTGCTGTTCCATCATTTGTCGGAAGCTGTGGTGTATACAACAAAGCATGTTTGGTGGTATAGCCGCATAGCCGGCAGCAACGTGACAATTAGACATCAATGGGAAAATTACTTCCTATCACTTTGAAGACCTGAAAACATCCATAATTTTTGTGTTCAATTCTTTTGGGTCCCTAAAATTTCCAGGATTATACCCGGCACCCGATACACAACACTGGATTTGCCTGGAGTCACTATAATATCCAAAGTTGTAATCTATAAACGCTTACGATCATGTTGTTTTGAGTGGTGGCTAACAAAGGCCCAACATGCGAGAAGACCGTCTAGGCAGAGCCCACACCACCAGAATGATCTGCATATATGTCATGTAACAGTCACTACCCAGACAGCTTGCAGCATCTTGCAGTCAAGGGACGCAGCAATGGCCTGTGCTGCTCCTTGCGCGACCTGTGCCGCTTGTGCAGCTTGCGCGGCCTGTGCTGCCTGCACCACTTGCGCTTCTTGTACTGCCTGTGCAGCTTGTGCGGCCTGTGCTACTTGCGCCACTTGAGCTTGAGCTTGAGCTTGAGCTACTTGGGCAGCGGCCTAAGCCGAAGGGGCCCATGCTTAACTAGTGGTCACTTGGGGTCAAGCACAGATGCAAAGAGCGAAAAGCCTTAGCTGTCGAAAGCCCGATGGCTAATTCCTAGCGAATTTCTGGGGTTCATTTGCCTTCTACAACTTGCTATTGACCTGGCCCAGCACAGTGTGCTAAGACGAAGCCACCGGGTGGTGAATGCCGAGTTGGATGCAGCACTGGGGTCCCAGCTGCGGCTTGCCACCAAAGCATATCACCTGCCAGCTGCAGGCTTCGGCAAATGGGTGGATTAGTGAAAGGAGCGCTGCAGAGGCTGTGTTGCAGAAGAAGAATGTTCAGATAGTGTCACCTACTTGCCATGTGTGTGTGCGCGCGTGTGTGTTTTTATTGTGCGAGTAATTTAGTTATGTTCATGTTTCTTCCATCTGCACAAGTTTGTCTGGAGTCTCATTTATCTATTTATTATTTATCTATCTACCCCCTCTCGATGCACTCTTTCATGTGTCTGCATGCACTGCATGTCATGGAAATGTATCGCCGCTGTTGAGGCTACTTTCCACCCGCTCCACGACACTCCAGCGCAGCCTGTTTTCTTCTGGCAGTTGTGGGAGCAGTTGTTGGAATAGCTAGGATGCAATTCGATCCTGCTGGTTTGAACCTCTCAGGTTGAAAGGCTCCTCTAAGACTAAGCACATTTCGATTCTGGTCTTGGCTAACTCTAGGCACAGGCAGAATCGATCAAAAATGCAGCGGCTACAAACCGCCACCAACGCTGACCACGGGCTGATTTACCGCCATCATAGAAAGTTTATAGACCTTTATAGTAGCCCCCAAAGATGGAAGTAACATGATGTGCAACTGTGTTAGTAGGATGTTACTGTTACCCTCTGGTAATTTAACATAGCTATTGAAAATGGTGATTTATAGTGGATTTACCCGTTGAAAATGGTGATTTTCCATAGCTACGTTAAATTACCAGAGGGTAATTTTCTTCGGGTTGCGATAGATAATCCACAGCCATCTCAAACATCGCCGTTGCCGCATGGTTGCCGCCGCCCCGCATCACAGCTCGTCAGGTTGCGTCCAGCCACTCCAGCCATTGTTCCAGGTTGAAGATGTCGCTGCTTCTTGCAATGCCACCGGAACGCCTTGTTGACACCTTTCCAGCACATCCTGCGTCAACAAGTGCCTGGTACCCCTTTAAAAGGGAGAAGACCTTCGTGGAAAAGTCAGGGGATATTGATGGATATTGCATGATGATTGTATGATTGATTGTAATCTGAATCGTATCCGGGTGACGCTAAGATGCGTAAGTCCACTTGGAGGTGGTTTGAGCACACCTTGTTGGAATCCGCGCTGGCTTCCCAAGGTCAGCGAAGCCACAATTCGTCGCAGTGAGTGATGATACACTATCTTATCTATCTGATAGACACCGCCCTAGATCCGCTAGATCCGCTAGATCCACTAGATGTTCCCAAATAAATATGTGGTTTCATCATGTTTCATCCCCCACAAATCAGCGAAGACTCCTGAAGCTCTTTGGCCATGTAACCTGGAGCCATTGCGACGCATGTTTTTGAAGCGGACATCGATGGCTTTCCCTACTGATCTACGATCACGAAAAACTCATGTTCCTAATATCTATGTTACTTTACATATGCAGTCAACAAATATGTTTATAATATTTTATAATAAACATATAAGCTTATGGATGCTGATCTTCACAGTAATAGTATTCAAAAATAGCGCCACGGCTCCAAACTCCAACTCAACCCATCAGTGAATCAGTTCGTGTTGCTTGTGAGTTCCGAGTACTCTTGGCAACTGGACAATCACCGCAATATACCAAGATTATAAACCACTCACAGACGAGATACAGGCATAGGGGGAGAGAGAGAGAGAGAGATCTGCCTGAATCACCCCTTCCCCTACAAAACCCCTCCATAAACCCGATCCGGTCGTTTTGGGGTGAAAATGGGTGAACCATTTCGGGTTCAATGGTTGCTAACTTGGGCAATGGGAATTGACATGGATGAACCAGATTCTACACCGGGGATGTCTACGAATTTCATCCGTCTGTGGCGAGCAACTGTTCCAGTACTGCGGAACGAAGAGGGAGACCGCTCTTCCAGGCCTTCCGTTTCGCCCCGTGCGTCCCACACGATGGATGTAGGTTTCAATATCATCCGGGAAGTCGTAGATGAACACCAAACTCACCTGGTCAAAACTTGGCCGAATTTGTAGTGTGAAACCATCCCAATCCATGTATACGGGTATAATGTGATTAAAACAATAGTAAACCATCCCCCAAATCACCAGAAATAGGTGGTATAAACATCTATAAACCATTCCCAAAGGGGTAGCTTATGGTTGTTTTAACCACATGATATCAATGATTATCAATTCTGTTCATGTGATGTGCATAGCGATTCGGCTCCGAGTCGACCATTTTCAATCCCAGTTTTTTTCCGCATCTTTTCTGGGTATATAAAGTCAATTCTCCTCTGGTAAATCACTTGGTTACCAACCAGCCAAATTTTATGAACTAGACCTAGATTACGTAGAGATTCTTCTTGGTGAATTTGCCCCATTTGGCTTAAAATCGCTTGATTTCCATTGATTTCCCAGATTGTTCCTGATATAATTCCCACGGAATTTCCCCCGGGTCTTATTATTCGTTTTTTTTTTGCTTATTCTACCCTCTGGTAATTTAACATAGCTATTGAAAATGACCATTTATAGTGGATTTACCCATTAAAAATTGTGATTTTCCATCGTTTTTTGTATGTTTACCAGAGGGTAACTCCCGTTTCCAGGGACCCAAATACCGACATCGACCAAGACCAAGAGACGTCTGGGATGTCCACCCCACGGCCCAAGACATCGGTGGTGATCAGGGCGCGTGTGTTGCCGCTGCAAAAATGCCTCGAGGGCGTCTCGTCACCCGGGGGACCACGACGTGACCCTCCAGAAATGGTCCATGGTGGGTTAAGAATACATGAAATTTATATGGTTTACCCATAGGGATCCATAGGGATTGAATGGGATGTATCCTCTGGTTATTTAACATAGCCATGGAAAATTGTCCATTTATAGTTGATTTACCCATGAAAAATGGTGATGTTCCATCGTTTTTTGTATGTTTACCAGAGGGTAAATGAAATAAATGGTTACCCATAGGGATCCATAGGGATTGAATGGGATGTATCGGGACATGTGATGCTACAACATGTCACATTTTGCGAAGCGATGGTCCATTGGAGCTGTCACGAGCTGTCCATAGCTATGTTCAATTACGAAATGCTAGTAATTTATAGCGGAAAATCCCCATTTTGCCCGTTGATTCATCATTATCCCATATTATCCCAACATAGAATGGCCATGGCGGATACTCCCCTATTAGACACGTAGTGAGTTTTCCCATGAAAAATGGTGATGTTCCATCGTTTTTTGTATGTTTACCAGAGGGTAAACATCTTCCACGAAATCGAAATGCAGAGACTCTCAGCTGAACATGATCAAAAAAAACAAACAAACTGCATTGTAGTTGATGCGAGGTGAGAATGAAAGTTTCAGATTCATGGATCCAACGAGTGACCAGTGCCACTAGCGGCCAAGTTGACTGACTTGGGTCATGGGGCCTTGCACCTCCTGAAACCCATCCCAGTGCCAGTTTCAACGTGCAGGTTTATCATGATTCATCCAGCCCCATTTCCCAACCTATAACATTGTATTAATACATGTCTATGTAGCTGAGTTGAAACCCATCAAGGTCCAAACCATCCCAAGAGCATCCCCAAAACACATCAAGCCACAGATCATCCAAACATCATCTCCCCATGCCCAGATATTCCATCCTCCCATCGTGCCTCAAGGACGTCTCCCGCTGCTCCTGTTTCCGCTGCCCGTGGATGGCATCGCTCCTGCCCCCGTAGCGCTGCGTCACCAGCGTGGCCAGTTCGTCGGCCGCATTGCGCGTGCGGACGAAGATCAGGACCTTGCCACCGCCCTGGTGCATCGGCGTCCTGGGTAGGCCCCGGGCGAACTTCGGGCCCTGGTTGAAGGGTTAAGGGGGATCCCGGGGAGGAGGGAAAAATGCCATGGGTATGAATGGGAATCATAATTGATCATGGTTGAGGATGATTGATTATGATTGATAATGATTGATAATAGTTGATCATAGTTGATAATGATAATAAGTAGGAATCATAGGAATAGTAGGATAAAATATGATAAAATAATGGTCATCACCAGCATCGTGACTCACAAACATTCACATCATCACCCGAGATGCACCATGCGATGCCACTCAGATCCGCTTCAGGACGTTAACTGTTCCCAGTTGAGGTTCGATAGCTTCGCTTCCTCCAGGTAGTCAAGAAGAATTGGCAATTTGTGTTCCTCAGTCAAGGCTATCCACAGTTTTAATCGTCGAGTCAAATGGGGACTCGATGAACTGGGGCTATCCAAGGTGGTTGAGGATGGGATGAGCCATGGTGAGCAATACAAATGCGGGATGGTTTGAACAATATAACATAATATAACAATATATAACAATGCTAAAACCATCAAGCATGGAATGCAACCCAACAAAATGGATTGGTACTACACAAAAATTATCAGCCACTCCTGCAGTTAACCTAGAGATCCAGGCTGCAATTCCTCCTTCTGACCACCAAGAAAACAAAAACACCAGTCAACATTTCCCAAAAAAAACTCAAAATACCCAAACATAGAGTCATAAACAGTCAAAAACTATATGATAATATGATCTCTCCCTGCTGCCGTGCTTCATGATCATCCCGTTTCACCACCTCCACCACTTGTTCAATGACGTCTGGTGGCAAGGACCTGCCCTCCTTGGATTCCACCTCTTGGGGCTCCAGCCGCACTCGCTGCAGCACCGCTGCGGGTCGACTGCAGAGGCGGAGCGCGGCGCGTTCCACGGAGGGAGGCCACGTGGCGGAGAAGAAGAGCACCTGTTTGTCGCGCCGCGCCTCAGGAGACACCGGAGACCCAGGAGACCCCAGAGAACCAGGAATTTGATGATGGCTATGGCTGAAAAACGCTGAAAACCAAACATGGCATCAAAGGTTTTTTGGGATGGAAACCTAGAGTTTAGGGGCCACCAAATTGTTTAAGATATTTGAAGATGATTGATCATAAACCATCGGATTTTCCGGGGGCAATATGATGCTTGGTTGATTGAAGGGAAAGTGGAAATCGAAAATTCATGGGTTTGAACCATGAAATGTCGTGTTTTCATTGGGAATATTGTAGGGCTAAACCCTGTGCTTTCTTCCATTCAGTAAAATCAAGAATTCCGAAGCACCTCCACGGAAATCGCCGGATGCCCCGGGAAAAAAAATGATTTAAGCAGGACCCAGTACTGAGTCTGTGTCTTTGTGCGAAGCGCCTCCCCTCCGATGAGAACCACCTCCTCTTCGAAGCCATCATCCAACATCTTGTCCCCTTCGTCCAGCACCAGGAAGGAACACCTCCTCCTTGGGCAGAGATGCACCCCACTATAAAATCAACTGCAGTGATGAATGGTACAAATTGGTACAAGCGAACCATGGGGTCTATGTTAAGTCCAAGGTTCAGACGGAAGGCCCTGTGCTCACGCATGAAGTCCTTACAGGCGGGCACCGGGGGCACCGATCACTGATTTTTCCCTATCTCTTTCGCACATGCTTCACTCACCAAGTGCCGGGCTTTTTTTCGCACCCCAGGGTTGAACATTGCACAAAAAAATGACAGGATGACCATGGATGACCCATCATTCTGACATCATTCTGACATCAAATATCTCCAACTGCGGAAGCGACTCCATCAACCTCCCCACCGTTGCCACCAGCAAATGTAGCGATCGATTCTGGCGCAGGGCAGCCAGTTGATCCATCTTTCGGGTACCTGGCGTGCCAGGTCCGGAAAATGTCCCCTCCAGTGCTGGGAATGTAATGACATCTACCCTCTGGTTATGTCAAAATAGCTATTGAAAATGACTCATTTATAGATTGTTTACCTGTTGAACATGGTGATTTTCAATAGCTATGTTAAATTACCAGAGGGTATGCATATGAGATTACACCATCTGGTAAGTCCTGTGAACATGATGTTAGTGAAGCAACAGTAAACCATCCCCAATTTCACCACAAGCGGGTGGTATGCAAAATGAAAATATGGCAGTGTGTCAAAACCTTGTACCCCTGGTGAACATCAAAATAGCTGGTAAATGGATGTTCATCCCCCTAAAAATTGTATTAATAGGTATTGATCCATACCCATATGGCTGAATTATTTACTAACATGACCTCAATCTATCATGATCTGTATCTCACAAGCCCCGAGGTGGCCGAACAATTCTCCCCGCCTCCGTAGACCGCTGCCACAGTGAGGGCCCCCCGGGCGCGGCTCGTGAGTTTCTCTGCGACGCTACGGATTTGGATCACCAACTCCCGCGTGGGCGCCAGAACCAGCACCTTTTTTCACACCGTCCAGTGGGGCAGCTGGTCGACAGTAACAATATGGAAAACAACAACGGTTTTCCTGGGAAATGATGTGCAAATGCTGGGGACACGCGGGTTATCTTGCCCAAGGTTCAGGTTCCTCACTAAGTGGCCAAGAAACGATGGGCCCTTCGGCCACGGAAGGAGCCGATTGACTTGACGCATGCACCTGAAGTGGCGGGTCAAGCAGTTGAGGAGCCCATGGGGCACCAAAACAAAGTTTTAAAATGTTTTAAATCAGTTGGATCATGTGATCATGTTTAATTTCCAACTGTGACAGGCAAGACTGACGTTTCTTTAACTGTTCGATTGCAATATGCTCACTGGCAGGCAATGGGTCCAAAGCCTCCATGTGGAGTGAAACAGGATTCCAAGCACAGATGTAGAGCCTCCTACGCTTTACTGATCGCCATATGTCTGTAGTATCCCATAGTCACCCCCCAAAAAAAAAGACGCTAACAAGTAAAATCAAAAAAAACAAAAAGAAAGAACAGTGCTCACTTTTGCAGAAAATCCCTACACTAACCTACAGTCTATCCTACTCTTCCATCAGCTAAGGCGCCATGGCCGGGACCAGGAAGGCCAGAGTCTTCCCGGAGCCCGTGGGCGCAGTCGCCACTACGTCCTGAGTCGCCATGGATGGGGGATGGTTTCACTGGCAAGTGATGAAGATGTGTAATGATATGGATTTAGAGATATTTAGGGAATGTATATGATCTGTATATATCATAATATATATATATAACACACATATATGTGTATATATATATGGAGAGAGAGAGAGAGAACGAACGAAAGAAACAAAAGACATACAAACAGACAGAAAGAAAGAAAAGAAGAGAGAGGGAGAGAGACATGAATATGTATAGATACATTACATATATATATATATACATATATATAATTATATATATAATTATATATATATACATATACATATACATATACATTATGATATATCTCTCGTTTTTATATAGTTTGAGAGAGAGAGAGAGAGGGGTGTCGATGAATAGATGTAGCTGCAATGTAGCTCTTGATATGGCCATTTACATACAAATATGTTGGATAATGTTGAAGGATCTGGAATCATCTGGAATCTGAAGCTTCCAAAATCGCTGGCCATACCTCTCCACATTCACCAACGATCCACTGCCAAGGCTCATGACCCCCGAGGGCCAAGGGCAGGACTTTGCGTTGAATGGGTTTCATGTCTTGGAAGCTGTGAGCACTCAGCCCTTCGGACAACCTCGAACAATGTGGCCATCATCTTAGCAGTGGTCGTATGTCTGGCGTTTCCGAGTGATCTGGCGTATCCAAGTTCTTGGTTGAGATCATGTGCCATGTGTAGGAACATCACGGAACATCTGCATCTGCAAAATAAACATGTAAATTCATGTAAAGATCAACAATGATCAACATAAGTCTTGTGTATCTTGTGTCCATGTCCCGCGTTCAAACCTCAATATGGCCCACCAGTCCCGACTTTCCAGCACTGAAAGGTCCACGCCAACTGATCCAACTGGAGACTGGCCACCACTTCGGGAAGACCTCGTAGAAGTCCGAGAATTTACAACTGCTCTGCAACTTCTTGGACCTTGCGCCGCTCCGCAGGGTGTCGGGATGTTTTCGATTGGGGATGGCCAACCCACCAAAAAATAACCCACTTTTCGAAGCGGCATTCTCTTTCTCTCTCTCCATCTTCTGGAGTTCGACAGAGCTGGCAAGTAAAGTACAACCAACTTTTCAGATTTAGGGGGATGGGTCATGCATGTTCTTCTGTTTTCATGCTCGCCGTTCACACAGAACCCACCTTGTGCAAAACCCTCATCCTGATTCATTGGATTGGTTTGAGGGACCATCAGAAACTGGCTGGATTTTACCATCAAAACTCGATCACTTACCCTCTGGTAAACGTTTACATAACTATGGAAAATCACAATTTTTAATGGGAAAACTCACTATAAATGGTCATGTTCAATAGCTATGTTAGTTTACCAGAGGGTATACAGACATGTCCCTCAGATTTTCCCCACGGAGTATCCCCATCCCAGCATCGCCAAAGGACTGGTCCTTCAAGAAATTCTTCCGCACAGCTCTGCCAGTCAGCAGCCTGGCTGCACCCTCGAAGATGCCCAAGAATGCTGAGGCCTCAGCCATTTTCAGAGGCCAAAAAAAGGCCGGAAATGCTTTTAGAAACCACCAAAAAAAGAAGAAAGTTATAGAAATTTATAGGATCCTTCTAAGATGGTGGTAGATGTTGGGCTGTTCCTATACCTATTGATCCAACTATGGATGGTAATACCTATAGATTCTATAGGGAGTAATCCTTTTCCTTTTCAGATTCAAGTCGCATCATGTAGAATCCTTGTCCTTGTCCTTCTGATAATACTAGAACGCCTATAGATGAGAATAGATGATAATAAAAAAAAACTGTTATGAAGGTCCAATTGTCCTGTTGGTATTCCAATGAAATATGGATATCATCAGGTTCAATAAGTTCGGTACCTTATTAATATGGATAACTATGGATGAGAAAAATACTTATAACCATAGTAATAATGATAAACATAGTAATAGTAATAACATTGTAGACAATACATCTATTCTCAAAAGTCTGAGGCTGATGTTGATACATCATTCCCTATATTACTTATAAATCTAATAACCGCCTTTCAATCAAATGATAGGTCATAACATAACAATAAAACTTGCCGTAGTAATAATGATGATGATGGATGGATGGATGGATGGATGGATGGATGGATGGATGGATGGATCGATAGACAGACAGACAGACAGACAGACAGACAGATAGATAGATAGATTAATTAATTAGATAGATAGATAGATAGATAATTATATAATTATAATTAATTAATAGCAATAATAATAAAATTACCCGAATTCTTCCATTGCAACCACCGCAACCGTGGCACCTCAGAGCGAAGGTCGCGGCGGCTCCGCCACAGGAGCACCAGCAGCAGGGTCAAGGACAGCCACCTGATGGCATTGTTTTGGGGTGAAAACAGTGGAAAACATGGAAAACTCTGGGGAAATATGGAGAAATAATGGGAAATAGTCGAGAAATCTTGGAAAATCTGAGAAAATCTGGGGGAACTTTGGGAAATATATATGGGGCGTCTTCTTCTGAAATTCTAGTTAATTGACGTGAATGGGCAACCAACAACAAAATATTATATACCCCGGTTTAAGTTGACAGAAAAATGGGGGGCTACACAGTAAATGTGACAGTTCATATGATATGATGAGATGTCATGGGATGTAGAGGTAACCATGCTTTTAGACAAGCCCAGAGAGAAAAATAGGGGTGATTGATCTGAGCCGACCTATGAAACGAGGTGTCAATCAACGAACAAATCGGATGTAGAGGTAACCCGAATGGGGATCTGATCCACAAGAAACGGATACAGCCAATAGAAATTATGATTCAATTAACAAAAATGAACAAAACGAGGAGAGGACAAAGGAATATGGGGACTCGGAGTTTGTCAACCATGATGAGCATACAGCCAACAGTGCTGGTGAGTAATCGTAGTGAATTGCCCCAGTTTGAAAGGGTTACGCCAGCAAGCGTTGACTTTCAAGCCATGCTTATGGAGAATGTGGCTTAAGAGCGCACAAAGTGAGGTCACTAAAAACAAAGTCATGTTGCATAAAAAACAGGTTGTACGTATACAGTCTACACTACAATACGTAATTGGTAAAGGATATAAACTATTAGTGACATATTATACTTAAACTCAATTCGCATGTTCAATGCACTGTTAGCGTATACGCTTCATGCTTTCTCTGTTAGTCCCTTACCGCACTGTACTGAGTCTCCCGGCTCCGTGCGCGAGAGCTGCTTCAAACTTCCCACGAAGTCCCGCTTCAACGCCCTCTGCCGCAACGTTTGCAGTGCACTATGCAGGGCGTGCAGGGCGCTGCGCGCTGAGGTCAGGGCAGCCAGGGCCAGGGCATGGCTGGTAGGGCCCGCTTCCATGCTGTAAATCTGGAATTTGGATTGGGAATCTGTGCTGAAAATAGCAAGCAGATCACCTGATATCACCTGCTGGGTCACCCGGAAATTGAGACAAAAGATCATGTCGAAATGATGCTGGTCAATCACACATCCCGTTGCCGCTACTTGTAGCTGGAGCTCGGTTGCAGTATCATTTTTCTGATGCTTCTGGCCGAGCTCAGGCCGAGCTCTCAACATTTATGTCTCAATGAATCCTTGAGCCATTCTGGGCCAGTTCGATGCAGCTTTCAGAGGTTGATCAAGCCGCCCCCTCCCTACATCTCCCTACCATGTTTGGATCACCTGCAAAAAAGGCTTTGAACATCAGGCAAATGGGTTTCCCCCAAACATCAAAAGTTCATGGCCGTTTTATGCTGGACAAAATCTTTTTCCCAACCCCCCATGATTTTCCACCATATGAAACTGGCACAAATCGTCCCAGCCCAGTCGTCGGCCGGCAGCCTCCCATCCCAGTAGCAAGGCCTGGGAACTGCCTCAGTTATGCCATGGTATGCCTGGGGTATAATAAATCCATGGAAAGATCCATTCCTCCCGGAGATGTCATATGTTTCCATATGAATATCAATGAGAAACAAGTTTTTCTTTGTTTCCATTTGCAAGTGTGAGATCAGCTGCTGGGCATCCCAGCATCGCCATAGCGGGGTTTACAGCTCGGGGCCGCTTGGCGGGCGGAGCCTCGGGTCCATCATGGGGATTTGAACCTACGGAAGTCCAACCTAGATATAGCCATGACGTAACCATCCAGTTTCGAATGGTAATGATGTAGATATAACATGATATAACCATGGTGTATGTATATATATATATCTGTGTGTGTGTGATAATTATATATATATGTGTAAAAACATCGATGTAGCCATCGTGTAATAATACAGCCTTGCTTATCCATTTGGGTTCCATGGCCTTTTGAATGGAGGTGGTCCAAATTGGGACGCCATAGATGATGCTAATTGGTCTGATGCCACAGCCAAGACTGGCCAAGCCCTGATCTTGCAGCAAGATCACAGCAACATTAGCGGTTTCCGCGGCATGTTGTTAAAATTGGTGCCCCGAAACCATTGGCTTCTCTATTTTCCTGTGATTCTCCATTGGTTTATCCATTGGTTTCTCCATTGGTTTCTCTTAAAATGACCAAAGTCTTGAAACGATGAATGCCCTCAGGGTCACGCCGCCGCATAGGACTCGTCATGGGGGGCTGATGCCCTGCAACGGTGACCATTCGTATAGACATATGATATGTGTAAGTGATAATGTCAACCCTGGATTAATAAACCCCTAGGCTGCTTAATTGGGAGGATACCATTTGAGTATTAGATGATTATGACTATTGGAGGAATACCCCCCCTAATTAGTAAACCATGGTTTATTAATCCGGGAATCCGGGGTTGACATTATAATGTATATATATGAATGTGCGTGTGTGGCCTCTAATATTATATATATAATTCATATAATGTGTGTGTGTGTTTATTCATCTGTTTGTTCATCTACGTGTTTTCTATTATTATGTATGTATCTACGTATTTATCTGTATTGTAATAGTGGGTGTGTGTGTGTTTGTGCAAATATCAAAATGAGTTTGCATGCATCGATTTATATAATATTTCAGCATATTTGCACGTGGAACCCAGTTGCGACCCCTTTTTTTGGCAGTTGTTGACCTCAAAAATCTCAAGTTGATCATCCAAAATCTGATTCAAAGCATCATCAAGTAGGGTTTGGCAACCATCTGGTTGGGAAACTCAATTCATAGCCCTTTGGCTCCCCATTTTTTCAGGTGGCATATGGAGACAACCATAGCTACGCAGCTACCCTTCGCCGCTCCCTGAAAAATCACCACCGGCTCCCCCCTGTCCTGGGGGTGGCACGAGGGGGCCTGCGAGACCGAGTGCCACCATGGACCCTTAGAGTATATGCTGTTTGTATCTGTTTGTTTTCCAGAATCCACTTTCCAACCAGCAAGATCAATCGGGAAAGACTTGAGGGAGAATGGCGCGCCATGGTTGGCTCTCGCATTTTTCGACTCCATCTGTTTATATCTGTTTATCATTCCCTGTTAGACGCTGCATATTTGCATAGCTCCTTTTACTGGAGGGAGGGGGTCAATATATGTTATGTCTGCTTCCTGGCAGATATTTACAGTGGTTTCTGCGGGTTTCTGTCTCGGACGGTTCTGAGGCACGCCTGATGTTATCTTGCATACCCTTTGCATCAATGCGGGATTTTGTGGATCAGGAAGATCAATGATGAAGGTCACGCATTGACAGTACATGTAAGCTTGTAAACTTCCGGTCAGTAGCGTTTGGGCCTTCCTGACAGGCTTAGCATTTCGGAGAATTCCATGATTCTGTCCGCAGCTGTAACTTCCAAAGGAACTATAAACCATTGACACAAACCTTGAAATGCTTTTTGTCTCAATTCCTTTCTTTGGGATTATTTATATAAAACTATGAAATAAAGCTATAATATTATATATACATTATATATATATATGATTATATGTGTATATATATATATTATTATATATGTGAGTATATCAGGATTGCTCAGCATCAAGTTGGGACATATTTGGACATATCAACTGATGCAGCCCACCTGGCGGGATGCGGAACGTACTTGGGCTTCTGTATGTCCTGGCACACTGGGAGTGAAATCTGGCGATGCCATGTGGATAGAAAATCTTAGGTAAACTGCATGTTTCAGCTGGCTGGATGCTGGTATAGATTCCAATTTTTTGCCCCTTAAAAGGGAAAAGTATATATAAATGTTACTGATCCATGGTTGACTCAGGATTGGTGTCACAGCTGAAAGCACCACACCAGGCGCCACGTTCCCCTTCTGAGACATTGACCATGTCAGCGAAGCAGCGAAGCTGCGCGTGCCATCCAAAAGCGCTGGAATTTTGGATGTCCCAACACACTGACAACTGATGAAGTAAAGGAATCGGAATACCCTCTGGTAAACTAACATAGCTATTGAAAATGGCCATTTATAGTGGATTTGCCCATTAAAAATGATGATTTTCCATAGTTATGTTAGTTTACCAGAGGGTACCACATGCAAACTCTGAGCTTCGAACACGGCTATGAAGACAGAACTTTCATGATCAATGCTGGGATTTGGGATTGGCACCACCTGATCCAGGCATTTTGTTAAGGTAATCCCAAGCGCACGATATGTTCAAAAGTAGTAACGAAACTCGAACCCAACTACACATGTGTGTGTGCATCGAGCTGTAGGTCAACCGGCGAATCGCCCTGCTTGAGGTGGGAATGAGGATACAATCACAACAATGCAAGTGTTTTATGCCGTGCACATTGCCAACAGAGGTATGTATATCAGAACTTATCGGACTTATCTGACCTGTAAAAAGACATATATATATACTGTAAACTGGTTGATTAGAAAAACATAGAAAAACCATGTTTCCTTTGTGAAGTCCTTTAGATGACCATGAAATCACCATGAAATCACCATGAAATCCCCATGAAATCCCTTAGACATAGCCATCGTTACGCGTGGCAAGGCTTGGAGCTGGCAATGGAAATGCAGCGAGTGCAGCGATTCGACCGGATTGATTCGCTGGATTCGATGTGTATGGAGTTACCCTCTGGTAAACTAACATAGCTATTGAAAATGGCCCATCTATAGTGGATTTACCCATTGAAAATGGTGATTTTCCATTGTTATGTTAGTTTACCAGAGGGTATATCATGGGATTATTATGATATGTTTATGGGATTTTATGGGATTTTGACTTGGCATTGATCGGAATTTCTCGGGATTCTTGATGTGTATACCCTCTCATTTGCTGTAACAATGGAACATGGCCCATTGTAAGAGAAGAGGTCGGGATCCTGGATGGGAAATGTGGTCAGAATTCACCATTTGGGGATACTTATCATCCATTTGTCATCCATTTATGGCAATATTTGGGGCTAGTCCTAGTCTATTACATTGTATTGAACGTTCAGAAGAGCGGATTTAGATGGACTGATTTAGCGTATTGACAAAACTTTGACACATTTAAACCACCCACCAGAACAGCTACTCTGCTGCTTCACGGGTATCTTTGGACATCTTTGGGCCTTGCTGGGATTGCGAAGCACATCATTGCCACCAGCCAGGTCAGACTGATTTTGGTGTTCCATGTTTGATCCATCCCCACATCTCGCCCCTCACAAGGCGCGCCTTTCCGCTTGGTCGGACGAAACCTGCCGGGAAATTGTTGTCCTAATGAACTCGGGGAATCCATTACAGTTCTGTCAGGTGCGAAGGATGACACGCACAAATCACAGCATAGAAGTGTACCTGTATTACCGCAGGCATTTTTGGTTGGAAAACAGGCGCGGGATTCTCAAGGGTTATGAGCCCAACCCATCTCTTCAATAGCCATGGAAGGCAGTTCAAGGTCCCAATCCATGCCAGTGGGGGACAGGAACTTGGATGTGGTTAATCCTTTTCACTCAGAAAAGGTCCAGGCTGACTGTTTGCTGGAGGCGAAAAGGCCTAGGACGTTGCCAGTTCGAGATGATGAATTGGGTCCTCAAGGTACAACAGTGTCTGGAAGGGTAGGTCAGTCTGAAGGTGCTGCACCAACTGGGAAAGGGCGAGGTGTCTGGTCATCGAGCGAAATGCCGGATGCAACTGGCCCCACAGTGAAGGAGCAGAAGGCGCTGAGGACTGAAGGACAGATGCAGGGGTGTGATGATCCTGTTTTGTCACAAGGTCAAGTCAAATCTGCTGGAAGTAGTGGTATGGACGAAGGCAGTGATGGCTTACAGCGAGCCCTAGAAGGCGAGCTTGTGGAGTTTTTGAGAAGTCAAAATTCTAAACTCATGCAAGAGTTGGAATGTCTCAAAGGGCAATTGCAGCATGTGCAAGTGAAAGCCGGTTCTGGGGATGCTTCGTCACCATGGTCTGCTGCGAATGGAACTTCAGTAGAGGGTTCAAGTGGCAATGGAACCTTTCATGCTGAGCGTCATGGTAGGGGTGGAAGTAGAACTCCTAGGCATAGAACACGTGAACGTGCAGTTAGTCCTGAGGCTTGTGAAAAAGGAGATTCAAATCGGTTCACACCAAATGGGACCAGAGTGCCAAAAGGTCCACCGCCAGTGGATGAGCCGATGTTGCCTCCAATTCCTCCGTTTCCAACAGTTGCAGGTGAGCCGCTGGTGGAGGGAACAAGTTTTGTCAGCAACTTGTATGACACATGTGAGTCAAAACTGCGTGTGAAAAATGGGGATGTTCAATGGAAACCTCATGATGAAAAAGGGGATGATGCAATTCTTTCTCCTCAAGAAGCAAAACAAGCATGGTTGGAACGTGAGGTTCGGTCTTTGAAAGTTGCACTGGATAGGGTAGCTGTTCCAACAACTCTGACTGAATCTGGGTACTGGAATCCAACGGGTTGCAACGCGCATGGAAAAGACGAACGTCACTTGCTCGCGGGAAATGGTGAAGTTGCTCAACAAGTTCGGGCTCAGCAGGTGCATGGTGGACTTCAAGGCAGCGATCGGGCTTTGCAAATGCATGGTGATGCTGCTCAACAAGCTCGGGCTCTGCGGGGCGCTGTGCATGGTGATGTTGCTCTACAAGGTCGGGCTTTGCATAGCACGGTGCTTGGAGATGATGCTCTACGTGGCGCTGCGCTTGGAGATGGAGGAGCTCTTCACAATCGGGCTCTGCATGGCACTGCGCTTGGTGATCTACCTGGACATGAACGACTTCATGGTGGCGCTTCTGAACTACATGGTCTTCCTCGTGACGGATGTCTTCATGGTGGTGTTGCAGAAGTTCCTGAACTACATGGTCTTCATCGTGACGGACGTCTTCATGGGCAAGAATCTGTAGGTGTCGCACCAATGCCGGCATCGTGGGAGTCTTCTGGTGGAGGTGGCGGTGGAAAGGTGGAATTGCCATCACTTCCAAATGGGGCCTCACCACTGGAATTTGGAGATTGGCTTTGTCTCTGCGGCCCTGTCATGAAGGACCTCTCTCAGGTTGCTGGAAGATGGTGGGATGCTACTGTTCGCCAAGCTCATGCGTTCTATGTGGAATGGAAAGGGCTGTCTCCTCTACAACGAGTTCAACTTTGCCCAGTTCAACTTTGCCCTCGTCTTCCGAATGAGCTGATGGCAAGTGGCTACATCAGAACGGAGCAAAGGGGCGTCACTTTGTTGCTCAAGGCGGTGAGCGAAGAGCAGCAAAAGGAGCTGGTGGTGGATCGAGATTTGACCAGTACGGCAATTCTGTTCCGCCTCTATGTGCGGCATCAACCAGGAGGACCAGGTGAAAAGGCAATCCTCTTGGGGCAATTGACCTCACTGCAAAAGGCATCTACGATGCAGGAATTGGCTTCGTCTCTGAGAACATGGCGGCGATACTTTGCAAGGGCTAGGGAGGGGGATGCAAACTTGCCTGATGGAGTGCTGCTGATAAAAGCACTTGAAGCTGCGGTTGTCCAGATCGCCAAGGAAGATGCCCAAGCAGCGTTCAGGCTTTCCACAAGCCGACAACAACTTGCACTGGATCAACGTCCTACGGAGCAGTCAATTTGGAGCTTCAGTCAGTGTTTGTTGGCTGAGGCAGAAATTTTGAGCTTGCTGAAGTCCTCTTCTACGACGTCTACAAGTGCAAGCACACCGGTGAGACTCAAGCAAATGGATGCCGAAGCATCCAACTCACCCCAAAAGCCAGGCACTCCTGGCAACTATGGCAAGTCTGGCAAAGGCGTGTCAACCCCTATGGCGGAGCAACCATGCAAGTTTTTCAAGAGTGATGGTGGATGCAAGGCTGGCAAAAGCTGCAAGTGGTCTCACATTTGGAACAACATAGAGGACAAAGGCAGTAGATGCTGGATATGCGGCTCCAAGGAGCACAGAAGGACGGAATGCCGTGTCAAGGGTTCTGGAAACAAACCTTCGTCCAATGACTCTGGTTTGGGGGGAGGACGTGGAAATCAAAATGCAGCTGCAGCAAACAACAAAGCGGCTGTCAACCAAGCTTCAGTTGGAAAAGGTCATGATGGTGGAGTTGCAAGCTCAACAACTGATCAAACTTCCTCCAGTACAAGCGCTGATGGTCCAGGACTGGGTGCTGAGAGTAACTCCCTTGGGACTTCAGCTAGTGCAACCTCGGAGGTGGATAAGGGGGAGCTCCAGCTGCCAACACTGAACTGTTGGCAGAAGCCACTCAGTTGCTGAAGTCTTTGCGTATGCCCAACCTGAAGGTGATGCGACTGTCAAACCTGCAGCCTCATGCTCAAATGGTGTTGCTGGACTCTGGTGCAACACATGGCCTACGTCCTGCAGTTTCAGAAGAAGAATGGCAGTCCGGCACAAGAACTCAGGTGATGTTGGCTGATGGTGTCACAGAAAGCCTCCGTTTGAAGCCTGGCACCAAGGTTTTGCTTTCCGATCCTCTCCTTCGGCCTGAAAATACCTCTTGGATCGTTCCAATGGGATGCTTGAACGAGCTCAATTACAAGTTGGTGTGGAAAGACCACATGTGCCATCTCTACACAAAAGCTGGAGAAAAGATCGATGTGGAACTTCACAATGGATGTCCCTACGTTGCTCATGAATTTGGAGCGAAGCTGCTGACGGTGTTGGAACAGCATCAAATTCAACAAGAGCTGAGAAAGATGACCTTGAAGTCCATCTTGACAAGAGGTGCTGCCGGTCTGGGCAACAACATGAGCATTGAAATGGCGATGCTTGTCAAGCTCAAGGAGGTCATGCCGACTTTGCCTGAAGATTTGGCGTTGAAGCTGGTCCCAGATCTCTCAGTGCTCACGGACCCCAACATCGGCGTGAACCTTCCATGGAATCGCAGAAAGCGAAAAAGACTCATGATGGCAAAGAATGTGATCATCCACATGTACAGTGGACCGGATGCTTCTTACTGGGAGCGGCGTTTGTCAAATGAACACACTGAGGTGCTGTGCGTGGACTTGGAAGCTTCAACACCTTCAAATGCTTTGGATGAAACAACCTTTGCGTTTTTGCTTTCCTTGTGCGCCAGCAAACGTGTCAAAGCTCTACTTGGTGGTCCTCCATGCAGAACAACAAGTGCTCTCAGGTTTCAAAAAGATGATGGTCCACCAATTCTTCGAACAGAAGATCACCCATACGGTTTGCCATCATTGACTCCACAACAAGCTGAATTGGTCACCAATGACTCAATTCTGTGGCTCCGGTTGATGCTGATGTACATCCTCTGCGAAGAAGTGCGTCCAAAAGAACAAGCTCAAACTGCATTTCTTTGTGAACAGCCTCAAGACCCAGCGGAATACCGCAAGAAGGAGGATGTGGATGAGCACCAGTACTTTTCAATGTGGAGAACTCAGGAATGGAAAAGCTTCCAAGAAGCCTACAACGCCAAGCTGATCTCTTTTGATCAAGGGCCTTTTGGACACCCAAAACGAAAGCCAACCACTTTGGCCTTGATCAACATGAATGAGATGATGCAGCTACAAGATGTGCGAGGTCGTGGAGCTGAACCTGAAGTTGCTCCGCTACCAGAACTCAGCGTGAAAGAAAGATGTGCTATGTCAAAAACTTGGGCGGCTTGGGCACCTGGTTTGAAGGCTGCAGTTGCTGAAGCAATCAGCAGATGGATTCGCCGTGAAGCGCCTCCACGTGAAGGACCTGAAGATCCTGTTGGCGTTGTTTACGCCGAAGACGATGTCCGACCTGTTGGTGTCGCTGCGATTGGAAATGTTGCCCTTCAACAATGGAAGCAACACTACATGCAGGACCACATGCCGGCCCGTCGAGATTGCAGCCACTGTGTACGTTCTCAAGGTCGCAGTCGAGCACATCGCCGAGTTTGTCATCCTGAAAGCTTCACTTTACATGTCCGGTCGGATGACTGGTGGCAAGGACCAAACTCCTGGTACCAACAAATACTTCTTGGTTGGAGTTTACACATACCCCGTCAACAAAAAGGGGAAACCACTCTTGTTGCGTCCTGACCAAGATGAAGAGGAAGATCACCCTTTGCCTGGCCTTGATGACCCCGAGCTCTCTGGTGATCCTCAAGAACAAAAACCTGGAGATGGTCAACCACCTCAACAACATGATGAACGAGATCAGCAACAAGCGGGCCATGAAGCTCGACATGAACAAGGTCTTCCTGCAGGAGTTGCACAAGATGAACCTGATCCTCTCCAAGAAGAATCGGTTCCTGACCTTGTGGAAGATGAAGAAGTGAAGTCAGCCTATGGAATGCACGACACTTGGATGCGTCTCATCAATGAGTCCAAGGACGTCACTGTGCGCAACCTCACTTTTGCAGAGCCCATTGCAGATCGAAATGTGCACAATGTGCTGCCGGCGATCGCCAAGATCTATGCTCGTTTGCGATCTTTGGGCTGCCCTGTGTACCGAATGCATAGTGACCGTGCACGTGAATTTTTGGCAAAACCTGTCCATCAATGGTGTCTTGACCGTGGAATAGTTCAAACTATGACACCTGGCAGTGCTTTCAAAACAAATGGCAGAGCTGAAAACGAAGTTGGGATGATCAAAAAAGGTGTCCGCACTTTGATCTCTGCTGGAGCATGCCCTTTGGACAGATGGCCTCTTGCGGTGCGACATGTTGGAGAAAGACGTCTCCGCAATCAACTCAACCAAGCAGGCTGGCCAGTTGGAAAACTTTTGAGGTTTGGCTCAAAAGCCTATGCCCTCAAGAAAAGCTGGCAAGATCGCTACGCTCAATGGCGTGATTGCCGAGAAGAAGTTGTGGTGTGGGGCCCTGCAGAAGGATCTTCTATAACCACCACAACATACTATGTCAAAGCAATTGCAACGGAAAGGTGCTTCTACACTGATGATGTGGTGATTCCTGCAGATGATGGCATGAATGCAGCTGTCGATGCTGGTCCCGGGGGAGAAGTTTTGCCATATCTCCCTGAACGTGATGGTGGCCAAGCTCAACCTCTTTTCCGTGATGGGGTGCCAGCACGAAGATTGAGATCAAAGACAGCTCCGCCTCCAGCAATTGCCACTATGTCAATGTTGCACATTGAGGGGGAGAAGCGCATCCTTGCAAAGTTTGGCAGTGTGTTTGAGTTTGCGCTGCCGCCTGACAATGAAGTTGCCTCTGAAGGTTCATGGACTTTGGAAACAACGCTTTCTCCAGCACAACAACATCCACCTCAAGAACAACAAGAGGTTCATGATGCTCCGCTACCAGGGCATGATGATGAAAAGGATGGTGATGGGGGGCAAACAGAAACTGATGAAGTTCATGATCAAAAGGAGGAGGAAAGTGATGTGGAGGAGGATTTGGGCGAGGCGCCTAACAGCAGAGACGGTGGCTCAAGCTCTGCGGCCTCAAATGTATCAAAAAATGTTCTGGTTAGAATGTCAAAGATACAAGCCCTCCAAACCATCCACGACAATGTCTCGGACTATATCGCCGAGGAGATCTGCAAGATTGATGGCTCCTTCCCTGAACAAATGTGGTGTCTCCCTGAGCTCAACAAAGCTCTGGTTAGAAAGGTTGAAGTTGAAGAACAAATTCAACTACTTGCGGATGAAGATCGAGCTGAAGAACAACAACAGTTGACCCATGAGTTTTTGGTCACCAAAACGGTCAGCAACAAAGAGGTTCGTGAAAACCTTGCCGACTGGACTGAATCCATCAAGGCCGAGTACGAGCAGCTTGTCGTCAACAAAAAGGCTGTTAAACCAATGACAAGAACGGAACTCCAAAAAATGGCTGAAGTGCAGAACAAAACTTTGGAGATCCTTCCAGCAAAAATGGTTCACACTAGAAAGGCTGGATCAGGAGCATACCGTTCAAGAGCAGTGGTGTGTGGAAACTACCAGACACCAAATGACGACAACACGTACGCTGGAGGTGCTGATGCAACACAGATCCGAACAATGCTAAGGATCAGTGCTCAGTACAAGTGGAAAGCTGCTTCAACAGACATACGAACGGCGTTCCTCAATGCGCCGAGAAGGGACTCCAGACTCATAGCTATGGAAGTGCCGCATGTGTACAAAATGTTGGGCCTGGCTGGACCTGATGAAGTTTGGCTCATCATGTTGGCAATGTACGAACTCCAGGCTTCACCAAGGGACTGGTGTCTACACCGTGATGCAGTTTTGCCAACGTTGAAGTGGACAAGGCAAGGTCAAAACGGGCTGCTGACTGGAAGTTTTGAGAAAACAAAAGATGAAAATGTTTGGCGCTTGGAAGAACTGGATGAATCAGGCTACATCCACTGGAATGGCCTCATGTCGGTGTATGTGGACGACATCTTGGTCACTGGTGAAGAGTTTGCAGTTCATGGCGCTCTACAAGCTGTTTCTGGAGTTTGGACAACGTCTTCTGTGGAGTGGGCTGGTGTTGACAAGCCTCTCAAGTACTGCGGTTTTGAGATTTCTGAAGATGCCAAAGGCGATGGTTTTCATGTCAACCAGCACATGTATGAGCAGGAGATGTTGCAACGTTGGAATGTTGATGAAGGAGTTGAATATCCTCACTACAAAGTTGCTGAGGATCAAGAAGTTGAAGAAAGCCCTGACCCAAACGATGTCAGGACGGCTCAAGCTATGGCTGGTTCTTTGCTGTGGTTGAGTTCCCGAACACGACCTGACCTTGCTCATGGAGTTGCAACAATGAGCAGGCTTATGACAAAGGCTCCTGTCAAGGCCATCCAGATCGGCACAACGTTGATGAAGTACGTTTGTGGAAACCCTGGCGTTGGTTTGAGGTACACAACACATGTTCCTGATGACTGGGGCGCCCATGGCCAGCTGAAGGTGAAAAGAAGTGACCTGCTCCTGGAGATCTTCTGCGATATCGCCTACTCAGCAGGTTCTGGCCATAGAAGCGTCCAAGGAATAGTTGTTTGCCTGGGTGGTCAGCCGATCTGTTGGCAAACGAGCCAACAGCCTTTTGTGACACATAGCACTGCAGAAGCTGAATTGGTCAGTTACTGCGAAGGCCTGATCGCTGGCAAAGCAGCTGAAGCTCTGGTGATGGAGCTCACAGGTGTTACAGCTGTAATGAAAGTCATCTATGGTGACAACATTGCCGCGATGGGACTGGCCAATGGAACTACGTCTTCTTCATGGCGTACAAGACACTTGCGCATCAGAGCAAGTCTTTTGAAACAAGCGCTGGATGAAACTGATGCAGCTGGAGGCCAATGGAAGCTGATCCATGTGCGTGGCCTCGACTTAGTTGCTGATGGTTTTACAAAGCCTCTTTTTGGAGCTGCCTTTCAACGTTTTGTTGAAAACCTTGGCATGAATGCACCGTTTTTGCGGCCTGAAGACCCTGAAGTACGTGCGGCTCAAGTGAGAAGTCGCAACAGCCAAGAACGTGTTCATGCTGGTGCAGCTTCTGCGATGGGTTTTTTGGTGGGGCAGACTCTTTTGTCCGAAGCTGAAGCTTTGGAAATCAAGGGAGGACAAAATGAAGCGGATCCACTTTGGATTGCTGCGGTGGTTTTGATGATCCTGGGGGCAATCTATGCTGGCAAGCTAGCAGTTCAAGCTGGTCAATGCTGCATGCGTCGATTGCAAGTGTGGTTGTCGGCGCCGTCAACGCATCAACGCCGTCTGGTGAGATGCAAGCTTCATCAACATGCTCCACTACCAAGAAGGACGATGAAAATGATGGTGAAAGAAGATCAGCGTTGAGGTGGCGATCGAGCACTTCAAGCAGCGGCCCTGTGCAGGCCCCTTCAGCTGGATCTTCGAGCTATGGCCCTGCGCAGGCCCTCTCAGCTGGATCTTCGTGTGGCTCTGGCCCTGTGCAGGCCCCTATGGTGAGGTCTTTGAGCAGTTTTGGCCCTGTGCAGGCCTCAAGTTCTACGTCTACAGGTTCTATAACTGCCGAACGTGCTGGCCCTGAGCAGGCCCATTTTGCTGGATCTGGTGTTGGCCCTGAGCAGGCCTGGCGATCTACGAATGCGGCTGCTGGAGCATCTTCGAGCAGTGCTGGCCTTGTGCAGGCCTTGCGAACTATGAATGCGGCTGTTGGAGCATCTTCAAGCGGTGCTGGCCCTGAGCAGGCCTTACGCGCTGGAGCTGGCCCTGTGCAGGCCGTTGTTGCCGATGATGCAGATCTTGGCCCTGAGCAGGCCTCTTCTTCGAGCGGCGCTGCTGACCTTTGTGCTGATGCGGAAGCTGCTGGCCTTGAGCAGGCCTTGCGAGCTGCGGCTGGCGATGGCATAGAGCGAGCGCTACGGCAGCGGGCTGATGAAGTGAGAGAGGCATTGCGGGTTGGAGGCGGGTCTAAAATAGATTTGCATAACCCATGGAATTTGTTTCAACATGAAAATAGAGGCAAAGGATGGTCGCCGGCAAAGATGTCGGCCATGTACAAGAAGTGGCGACCGTCCGAAAAGGATAAAATGCCTTGAGCCTACTACCAATTTTAGGTTCCTATTTTAGGTCCTTTACTTTTTGTCCAATTCAATTCAAATTTTTGGCTGGGTGCCAAATTAATATCTCCGGAAAATCGTGAGAAACACGATTGGGGGAGTCTGTCAGGTGCGAAGGATGACACGCACAAATCACAGCATAGAAGTGTACCTGTATTACCGCAGGCATTTTTGGTTGGAAAACAGGCGCGGGATTCTCAAGACAGTAATGCATGAGTGAAGGATAGCATGATGGCCAAGACTGGTGCCTCTGTGAGTTTGAGATCTAGGAAAGGGAAACTCCGGAAAACTATTGGAAAAATCATGGAAAAATCAGTTTCATCATCGTTTTAAAGTGCCGTGTTGCGGTATCCCGATCTCCCCACGTCCCCGTTTGACGTGCTCGCGCTACTCGCCTGAGCTTGCAACTCATTGTACCTACAACGCCGTGGAACTCGCCAACCGTCCAGGGGATGATTCAAGGGATTACCTCACAGTCCGTGGTTTCCATGAACTTGGACATTGAATCAAGGGAATATCCCCAGAAAATATGGCCTAACAAATGGTACAGTACCTCCATTTTAGGATCCTGGAGATCTCCCATTGATTGAAGTTTGCCTCAAACATAGCCAATGAAACAAAATGGAGGGGAGATATGGGGAGATCCAAGAATCTTCACCGCCCGTGTTGTTTCTTTTGTCAGTAGCAAAGAAAAGCTGTGAAACCCCCGCTGCCAGAAAGTCAAGACTCCACCAGAAATCTAAGTGTTCATCTGCTGGAACGTGGAAACTATGGAGGTGTCTCAAAAAAAGGGCAGGGGGTCGGTTTCTGACCCCCTTTGTCTGTCGCTTTGGACCCCCTCTCGCCGGAAATCAGGTACAGTACCCCACATCATCACACCGCTCAATCATTATGATCCCTATGGAATCTGTAAAAATGTTGGCGGGTACCCTCTGGTAAACTAACATAGCTATTGAAAATGACCATTTATAGTGGAATTTCCCACTAAAAATTGTGATTTTCGATAGCTATGTTAGTTTACCAGAGGGTACCCATTTTCCCAAAGCACATTTCTGAGAGTTCGGAGCTATCCAGGTGGTGAGGTTTCGCGCACTTCTCTTGTAGACCTTCCAGTTTGATGGCGCTGGTCGCCTCCAAGGTTCTCTGGGTTTCCACCTGGCCGAAGAAACACCTGGTGTATTCACCCGAAAAAACCCATCAGTTTGAGGATTTTCATCCACTGCCATTTGTCATGACCAACCTCAATATGTGCTTGACATTTTTTTCATCATTCACCTAGTGAATGCGAATGTTGGATAACCTCCATTGATCTACGGCAATCCAAGTCCCCCCACTTATGTCATCTTATGTCCATTGTCCTGATGTTCCAGTGGCTAATGAAACTGGCAACTGGCCGTTGGGCCACCAGCTGAGCCATCTCTTCTTGCAACCCGGCATTCTGCTGCCCCAGGACTCGACACCTTGTGGAAAAGGATGGAAAAGGTCTATGGCAAGGTCTGTCAGTCCTAGGTTTTTTGGGGCTTCCCCAACTGCATCAGATGTCCTTTCAACATCTTTCAACATCTTTCAACTGTCAACCCTGGCTGGCCTGGATCCCTGGAGATGTGGATCCTATATGCTAGCGGCTAGCCCATCATATCCCTGGGAGAATCATCTGGCCCTGGAATTCCGTGCGTGTTTTTATCGGGTTCTTTGCTTTTGCCCTTCATAGACTTGCATATGTCTGAAAACGGGTTCAGCAAAGCCATGTGAGATCCCTTTGTACCGGCCAATGGCTATTCCGATTAGTGGTTTGTTAAGCCATAAAAAAATGGAAGGAATCCCACGAAAACACGGTGGTTCGGTTCTGAGGTGCTGACTTTTCGGTCTCAATTGCCAAGGCCTGAAGGGTATCACGGTATCACCATTTGGGGGGTGGTTTTCAGCGCCTCATGGTGCTGGTTTGAAGTGGGCTTGCCGTTTACCACAATAAATGGATATAAATGGCTTTGTTCATGCACTGGTTCATGCTGACTCATGACTCATGTCATCATATTGATTTCATATGACATCATCTTTTTTGGTGGAAAGCTTTGAAAGGCAAAATCCACAAAGTCTCCATCTCGCCAGGTTCGCTGAGGCTGCGATGTACTCAGCCCTTTTTTCACAGGGGAAGCCAGTCAGCGCCATTGAGCGGAGGGATCGCTTGATGTTTCAGGTGACCGTCTCACTTCGGAGTGTCCCAGAGCGATCTATAAAAATCGTAAGAGGATTGGGGACAGCCTCGTCAGCCCACTCTTTCGAGAAATGATGTTCCAGATTCCAAAGTTTCGCGAACCCACTGGCACCAAGGTCTTACCAGTATTTTTGAACCACCCGCTGTGCAAGAATGAACCACTGGTTGGTGATAGTTCCAAGATGTTCCAAGGTCTTACCCGCTGTCCCGTTGGTGTATCATTTGAGTGAAAAGAGGGGTCCCAAGAGGATGAAACCTACATCGCACCATGTTGGATTCCTGGTTGGTGGTTGAGCCACCCCTCTGAAAAATATGAGTTCGTCAGTTGGGATTATTATTCCATATATTGTGGAAAATAAAAAATGTTCCAAACCACCAACCAGATATTTATTCCCAAAAATAATTGGCAATATCAACATCATTCGCACAACGTCCCTATCTATATTCATACCGTAGCCATTCTTGGACATATTGAAATGACCAGAAAATTGCCATGGCATCCGGCTGCAGCTAACTTTTAGGCTCCCCAAGGGAAAATCCAGGGCCGTTCCCACAACTTCGAAACAACAGCCACTATGTAGGAACAGCAGTTTGACCGTGGGGTTGACTATTGGTTGTTTTTCTCCAGTTGCGAAGCAAATTCGCATCGACCAATAATATGACAGCAAAAGGCATGGCAAAAAAAAACATTACCGAACCTTTTTTTGAGGCCATCAAAATTCAGCCCGATCATCCGTGGATAAATACAAACCCCCTACATCATCGCCACCAGTGGCGATGGGTCCATCCAGGTTGAAGCAGAATGAACCACCACAGTAGCACCCACAGCTTAAGTTTAAAGAGTTGCAAACACAATGACACCTGGTAACAGCTATAATCATCGATTATCAATGCTTTCATTAAATTACTGTTTTGGATTGTGGGACTTACTCGTTAATTATCAGACCATCTACCAGTACTAGAAGATTAAATGGGAGCAGGCGCTTCCTCTGTTCCAGGTGAAGTTTGCTTGGCAACAATGCTTCGCTATAGTCATCCCGCCCGTTACGGGCAAGCACCGTCCCTGAGAAGATGACCGGGCAATTGAGGGAACACATTGTCACATTGCAATCAAGTAAGGCCGTTTTCACTGATGCTGAGCGGCTCAAGAACACACTGCAAGCCGATAGCGATAGGGAACCGAAAGGCTCAGGATTCATGCTTCACCTGCACACGTTCTGTCGTCGCACCAGCAAACTTCAACTGATGGCTTGTGAAATATGAAGTGCTGGAGAACATTGTTGCAGAACCTGTGGCGGTGTGCGCGCCGCAGGCCCTGATTTCGCCATCAGCGTTTTGAATTCCTATCTGAGCCCCCCTAAGAACACCTGAAGCCGTTGCCAGAGTTGCCGTCTTTCGCATGGGAATATTTTTCCAAATGTCTGCAGCCCAATGACTTCTGGGGCCCCTGCCTATCTCACTCAAGTCCAGCACATGGGAGCAGGTGCATCTTGAGTGAAAGGTTAAGATCTCCAGCGTCAAGGCGCAGCCGGTGAATTTCGGAATTTCGCATTGCGTCTTAAGGTGATAGCCGTGCGGTGTCTGGATTTGCCACTGCTGAGCTGACTTCAAGAGAAAGTTTGGAAACTTTCATCGCGCTCACACATCATGAGTCTAGCAGAGGTAGTTGTAGATCATTTGGCCATTGTGGAATTGGATTTCGGCTTCACCAACAAAGGCATTGGGGAACTGCAAGCGTAAGCTGCCGGGATGCAATGGAAGGGAAGAAGGCGGAGAATGCCGATGAGGTTGGACTGGAGACGGCACAAAAGATGAAGACCCAGCCAAGAACAGCACCCCCCCAAAGCCGACTGGAAAGGGCATGGCGGAGGACTTACATACAACATTATATGCTGCAACGCGACGGAACGCGAATATAGCAGTTGGCCACTGTGGCACGCAGCCATTCTTCCCGGCTGTAGCCGTCAGCAGCACATGGCTTGAATTTTGATCTGCGACGTGGGTGCGAAAATAATAGCATGAATTGCTCGCACCAAGAGCTGATTTCCTTTGGGCTCAAGAAACACATGCATGCTCCATCACAGAGGACGCAAATCTTTTTCGGTGCTGCCGGCAAAATTGTGTCCAACTATGTGGCACTCTAAAATCTAAAGCCTTGGTTCGCTCAAAATTGTACTGCCTATCGTTTCTATATCTTCTGCTCTACGCGTTCTTTTGACAAGCCAAAAGGTAGAAACACTTTCTCTTCAAGCGGCTATGCCACCAAGTCCCGTATCGTCTCAACTGTATTGGTCCTTTTGATGAATTTGAATCATCCCAAGCACAGTGTCACAGCGACACCCTGCTTGGTGGGATTCGGAATCCACAATCAGAAGAAACATTGTTGCCTCAGCTGCTTCTCTTGTATATGTGGCCAGTCCAAGCCATCTAAGCTTTCCAAGTGGGATTCGGCATTTTGAATCATCCCAAGCACGGTGTCACAGCGACACCCTCCTTGGTGGGATTCCCAATCCAGAATGCCCGGAACAGCTCTGGAAGGTGCCCGGATTAAGGTCTCTGATTGCCTAGGTCTAGAGGCGCTGGCGATGCAGCTGTTCTGTGTTGCCATGTGTTTGCATCCAGGGTGGCCTTTGAAGCGTCCATTCAAGTTCCGGCATGCATGCTTGTTCTTTCAAGCTCTGCGTAGCAAGCACGAAAAACAACAACACGCAAGTCCACAATTTCAATAGTCTCCACAAAGCCGTTTCAACAAGATGGAAGCCATATTGAGGAACCCTTCGGATATTAAAGAATCTGCCAAAAAAATATGCTTTCAGTTCTTTTCTCAATGAGCAGCCAACCCAAATGCATTAGATTGCAACAATGAGAACATAAGCTCACACCATTCCATCTCCTGGGCCTTCAGCTTGTATAACTCCTTCCGTCACATGCGGTCTAGGGCGCGCGGCTTTTGCGCGCCTGGCACCCCTTTGGGCGCCCAGCTTCTTTATGGGTTCAGTATACCGCCGGAAAATCATCCCAGTCTGTGTGTTCCTCCTGTTTGGGGTTGTATCCCAGCTTCTGTCAAATTGTTGCCTCCGTTGCTTAAAACCACCTATACCAAACGGTAGTAGGGCCTACATAAAGGCGCGCGCTTTCTGCGCGCCTGGGGCGCGCGCTCTTTGCGCGCCTATTGTAGGCGCGCGCTCTTTGCGCGCCTGGGGCGCGCGCTCTTTGCGCGCCTGGGGCGCGCGCTTCTTGCGCGCCTGGGGCGGGCGCTTTTTGCGCGCCTGGTGCGGCGAGTGCTTTTTCCAAGCCAGGCCTAGCCGTTGGGTATTTTTGTTGTATTTTGCACTACCCTGCTCCCGTTTGGTTCATGGCCAAAACCGCTCTGCACTGCAATATCGTTGTCCACGCCAATGTCCTCGGGTGTGCTTCATTCCAGCACCCTAAGAGCCATCTGCTCCCTCCCCCATTCATCCTTCTTTCTGTACCCATCTCTTCCACCGAAATCTTATGAAAACGGCCCTCGTCCATCAAATTATTCGGATATATATATATATTTATTTATTTATTTATACTATCTGTATGTGTAAGATGCGGCCAAGCAAAATCAAATATCTAGGACCACCTCTTCCACTCCGTTCCGCTCCCTCACATCCACATCCCTTCCAGACGATGGGCGGAAAACGGACGTGCTGAAATGTAGTTAAGCGATTATGCCTTAGATATGTAGAATGCCCATTGACGCTGCACGTCGGGAATTGATAGATCCATCATAAACTTGCGGCCTGCGGCCGGATGCTGTTGGTCCCGTGGGGCCAAGAGCGGCAACAATAGAGTTCCAGAATGCTAAATTGAGGAAAGAGTAATGAGAACATCTGCCAATCATAATGGGATCGAAATCCGTGCAAATGGCTTTAATAATGGGAATACCATATTAATAAGATAGTCTTGCTGACATCTACCAGGAATAACGGGATGACAAGCAGCCCGCTATGGTTGGCATATATGCCTAAGGTCTATTACGAAATTGTAGCCAACTTGCTGATATATCATATGAATAGTTCCTCGCATTAACGCGTTCCACTCATCATTCCAGGCAATCATTCATTCGAGGACCTCGAAATCCATAACGTCCGTTCTTGTTAGTAGGCGTAATCCCATATTTAATATCCCCGTTCATTAGCTCTACAATCCGTAATGATGAAACAAAAACAAGAATGATTTCCTATACAATGACAGCCCCAGTTTGGCTTTTGGGCACGCCCCTGAAATCCGCCCTGGACCTTTTGTTTCCAGGGATCCTAAAGGACTGTCGTGCGTAGCGGTTGCCGCGGTCGCCGCGGTCGCTGCGGATGCGATGCTGGTGCTCGCATCCAAGTTCAGTGGCCCTGACTGGTTCTTCGCGTCCTCACCCTTGGCTACCAAGCTTCACGGTGACTGCTTTGCTTCATTCAGACCACAACAAAAAGAAAAAAAAAAAAGCACGTTCACATAGACGAGTCTTAGAGGGATCCAAAAATCATCCCCACCCCCCTATGTAACTTCAAACTATGTGTCGGCCAGTGCGTTTTTTGCCCGCCGGTCCCCGTCCAACGTTTGCCTGATTTTTCAAGCATCCAAGGAGCAATCAGCTGTCAACCTTTTGGCCTCAGGCACCAAAGCTAGCTCAACATGGCCAAGTGTCTTGGATGGTCGGCCCCAAGAAAGCTAGAAATTTTACATGTATAGCAACCAAAAAAAAATACCCTCTGGTAATTTAACGTAGCTATTGAAAATGACCATTTATAGTGAGTTTTCCCATTAAAAATGGTGATGTTCCATAGCTATGTTAGTTTACCAGAGGGTAGAGCTCAGGTTTGTTTTCAGATTCAAATTTTACTTGGCTGTTTTGGGCTTTCTAAAGGTCTTACCATAGATGTTCCATCGGTGTCCCATTTCATCCCCTTTGGACTGCCAGGTCTAACGACGACGCCCGTCGCACCCTTGGTCCACGTCACGAGAGATGACTTTGATGACCATTGTCACCTGGCGTTCCAAGATGTATCTAATATATATATATATATGTGTGTGTGTGTTACCAATATGATTATTGTTTATGTTATTACTATTATGATTCTTGTTGTTATTGCTATTACTATTCTGATTATTGTTATTAATATTGCTATTACTATTATGATTATTGTTATTGTTATTGTTCTTGTTACTGTATTGCTATTACGTTTACGATTGTTTTTTGTTATTGTTATTGTGATCTTTATTGTTCTGTAATTGTCTTGCGATGTGTTATTGTTATTGTTTATCATTGCTAAGTATATCTCTGTTATACAGAGATTCGATAGAGATAGCCATCGTTTCCAGAACCCAAATGTCACCCTTTGAGGGGAAACAACCTCCCAATTCCTTCAGGGTCCTTCAGCTGTTGCAAAATGACACTCCGCTACTGGAAAAAAAAAAGTGTCGCCGAGGATCAAAAACGGGATGATTTTCTGGATCCTTCCAACCTGCGACAGCTTCGGAAACGCTCCAAACGGGAGGTTTTTTGCGCAAGATCTTTGGGGTCTCGTTGCTTGGTCGTTGTCCAGGTCATGCCCCAGTAGCCATAGATACCCAGAAAAAAAAAGGGAGGTGCCTTGCTACACTAGGAGTAAACTTTATATGTTCTATCCCAAAATCCAATAGTTCATCATCTGGTAAACTAACACTTTGCGAACTGGGAAATCACCATTTTAATTGGGTAAATCAACCAACTCAACGGACATGTTTTTCAATAGCAAACTCTGAAAAATGATCGGAGGGTTTTTCATCACTTCTTCCCCATGAAATCGGCATGAAATTGTCCCACTGATCGTTTCTCGCCTGCGTTCCGGAGCTTGAGGTCCCCTTCAAAACCGTCTGGGATGAGCTGCTCTGTCCTGGGGGAACCAACACGACGTGGAAATATTATTTAAAAAGTAGCCTCTGGTAAATCAACATAGCGAACTGGAAAATCACCATTTTTAACAGGTAAATCAACTATAGCTATGTTAAATTACCAGAGGGTATAGATCAGTGGTCACTTCTATTTAATTATGGCAATCAGATTGTACATGTGTAGAGTGTATGCGTTTTGTGATATCAACCGATGTGGCATAACTGAATGCTTTCACATATCTTCACACTCTTTGAATTTTAAAGATGCCAGTGGATTCGTATCCCACCCAATCACCAAACCCTTCACTACCCCACCCTTAAACCAAATCCCCATCCTCTTAAACAACTAAAGGTCTGAGCTCTCCCTTTCATGTTATGAAACCCTTAAACAGTGGATTAAGCACTTGCAAACTATACTTATTATCCATATTCACGCAAGTGTATGCATACCGACATGGCTACCTATACAATCAACATACGAATAAAGGCATTATACATAAATACTGTTAATTTGGAAAGCCTCTAGAAAAACACAGGTCATGAGGCTGATCGGTTGTGGGAACCTTTGCAGGCACCCCGTCATTGAGACATTACCATCACCAACTACTCTATGGGAATGCTCTATATCCACGGACTCGATGCTGTCGCCTGATGATTGTCCATCATAGCCCCATGTTCAAGTCTGTTACACACTCTTGTTTGGTCGCGGGGAGGAGGAATCAAAAAGGTGTGTGGAGGTAACCTCTTGCTGCGATTAAAAACCAAAAAATATGTTGAAAAAAACAAATCATTTTTCGGAACCTCTCCCCACACGTTCAGGTTGGCCATGTCCATCCTGCCACCAC